CATTAACCTAAGTAGTATTCATTTTTCATGAATTTATTTAAAACACTAACAAATTAATAAACACATAATATTTAAAGCTACGCTAATTAGATTAATATATGGTTGTGGAGATTGTTAAGTTTTTGATTGAGATCATGAGTCGATCGATGTTAGACCACCATTGAAAGTCTGAAAGCATTGGACGGCCGTTTCATCCTAGTATGGGACTCCCCAGCAGTGATCTCAGGTTCTCAATGGTGGTTCAACATCAATCGATTCATAATCTCTACCAGTAATATCGAAGTATTAAATTTTAGGTTTAACGGATATGATTTAACTTATTCTATATATATTATTTTAAAACAAAAAGTTCCAGAATATAAATTATAAACCAGATTATTTAACAAAAATTATTCAAAATGTGACAATAAAAACTAGTCGCCAACAGTGATATTATTATACGAATAAATCATTAAATAGTGTGTATAGAACTTATAGCAAATATGTCATAAAACAAGACATTAAATATTTGTTATATAGTTTAAGATAATATGAATGGCGAGATTACAGGTTAATATGAAAGGGATAGATGCTTCCAGTTTACTCACAGACTTATTACCGTTGAAACTCAGAGATTTAACTCTTACATAACGATATGACTTTATTTACGCAATAATCAGTCCGAATTTCTAATGACTGTTCGTTAGTGGGTTAACCACTCTTACAAATGACTGAGGTATGAAATATTCCAGCGTACAAAGACTATTACTGTGCTCAAGTGATTATATTCTCCAGAGTTTTTAAAGTGTATCTCCGAGTTATATCATGGATAGTTCGCCTAAATAATCCAAAGGCGTTTATGTAAATATTCTCTGAAGAATTCTTTTCAGTTAATCAATTGTTCAGGTGACATTAATACCAAGGAAAAGACAATCTGTTCATTCGACTTTGATTCCCTGTTCACAACTTTAATAAAGACAATTGATATTTCATGTGACTATATCTTTGAACAACCTTGGATTACCTATTCCTCTAAAAATTCTCAAAGTTTTGTTACTTTCATGTATTGATAAAGTCCGGTTCACATTTGAAGGTGAATACCTTCCCCAGATCGATGGGATTAGTATAGATAGTCCGTTAGGACCAGTATTAGCTGATGTATTTATCTCATATATTGAAAATCTAACTGAAAACTTAATCGAAAACATGTCTTTAAAATAGCCCCAGAGGGGCTCCAGGAGGAGTTCTAGTGCCAAAAACAAAGTTGAAATGGGGCATTAGATTGATCTTAACTAAGAGCATATACCAAAGTTTATTGAAGCCTCAGCCATATGAAAATTCATAACCTCCTTGTGTATTCAAAGATGGCTTGTTCTCACCCTAGGCCTATAGTGGTAATATTTAATTATGCAGCGTGTTGAGTTTCACATTGCCCTTGCACATCATTCTCTTTATTATCTCTGTTTCCTCTTACCTTCTATTAGTTTATTTGACCTTTTGCTTTTATATATAAATATTCTTAACAAATATATATGTGATCGAATCATTCGAAATGCATTGCATTAATATATCATAGTCCTCACAATCTTCATCTTATTGCACTATCCGAATTTTTAAACAAGAATCATCGAATGAGGACAGTATGATGAAACTATATTTGATTTAACCATTATTCCACATAGTGTAAATTGTAATCCTTATCAACAATGTTTGAGACTTAAAATCAGACAATAAGGATATGTTGTCCACATCCCTCTTTTAACATTCCATTCATTTCCCTGACTTTCGTTAAGCTGGTGGGCCGATTTTGCTGTCCTTCTTATCACGTGATCGAAAAAACTTCTACATCTCCGCCACCGGTATTGCATCTGTTACTTGAATCAATTTTCATCATCGTTAGTTAATACTTCATATTTCAGGTTAATATTTCTATCATCAGTTACCCTTTCGATTCACCTTTATACACCTACTAATTAAGTTAATTATTCCCTTTGTGTCTATCGATTTCATCACTAATTATTGCTCATAACTGATTATTAACTTGTAAGATCAATACTCCTACAGGAAGATTTCAAGATATTTAACAAAAAACTATTTCAATAGTTAGTGAAGTGTTAGTATATCTCAGATTAAATATCGTATTTTCAATGCTTGACATAAAGATTGGCTTTGGTATAGATTTGTATTTGTCAACTCATGTTTAAAAATCATGTCTTTACATTATGAAAAGTCTTATGATCAAAGATGTAAAACTAACAGTTTTGAAAGTGAAGAATTCTGTTATCTTAAAAAAAGTTATCATTAAATTTGAACACTTCTGACTGATGCTCTGATAACCATAGTTTCAAACAAACTATAATCTTATCCTTCATTTGTAGCGACAACAGCATCGTCAGAAATATATTGTGACTACGAGAAATCAAATAACTAATGGTGGAAAGACTCATTTTATGTGCAATAATGAATTATTTTTATCTTTATACTTCTTATACTTTCACACAGTAGATAGATTTTCAAGTGACACTGTTCCATTGAAGATATCAGTCAAACAAAAACCTTTATTTTCAATTTATAATTGTGGAGATTGTTATATTTTATTGAAATGATGTTAGACCACCGTTGAAAACCTGGGAGTACTGAACGGACATTTTATCCTAGTACAGGGCTCCTTAGCTGTGCTCATCCACGATCATCAAACTTTTAAGTAATATAATATCGAAAATAACAGAAATAAAAAAGGGAGCTGAAACTAGGGATGTTTCTGAATAAAGGTTGGATAAATCGATGAATTACAAACTGTTGGAAAACTGCCAACAATACTTGCTATACCTATATTACTTACTTAATTATTGATTTCAACTCTCCTTTTAACCTTAACTTACGAATGTTATGTTCACTACAGGATACAAATCAGTAACTGGTTACTATTTTTGTTAGTATTTACTTCAGTTATTAAAATATCATTATGCCAGTATAGTGAACCTGTGGTCCAAAAGGTTAGGGATTAGAATAACGATAAGTAACATAAAGGCTGAAATATCCCTTAATGGTTATTTAGGAGCCATAATTAGATTTGCGTCAATTCTAAGATAGTTCCGCTTGCATAAATTCAAGTAGAAACATGAAAGAATTCAATTAAAGGCTAAGAGTTTTTCATTTATTTCATGCGAATATGATCAATTCAAAACAGACGGAAAATTACTTCTACTTAACTTACTAGTACGTTTTATAGTAGACTTGATTAGTTCCATTTAAATGTTATTAATTATTGTAGATTAATATTTATTATTTCATGTAACATTAAGATCCTATAAGATTCATAATTAACTATTAATAAACCATGTTGATCTTGACATTTGCTGACAAATCTGTATCCGAATGAAACAGATAAAGGATGTTTCAGGTCACAGATTATAGCCTACTGAGACATGCAATGTTTACTATGAAAATAAAATAGGAAGCTTAACTCAAGATGTAAAAATAATTTCGTTAATATATCATGTAAGATTAGATCCCAAGTGCAACTTATCAGCTTGTGATTTCTGTTGTCAAATATCCAAATTATCCCCTGTGAAACAAATGAACCAACTTATAGTGTCTCATAGTTTTTAATCCCATATACATTTGAATCTATTTAAGTTTTCAACCAAAGCAAAGAGTTTTGTAAAAAAGTAATTCATTCGAAGGATAATTTTCTCTATAAAATAATATTATTTAGAGAATAACTGAGAATCAGTGAGCAATTGACATTTTGATTACTACTTGCAAGGTTTTCCCCATATTCCATTAGATCTTAATATCTGTTTTCATTCTACACAAGAATTTGAATTCACCTGAACATAAACCAATGGAAAAATGTCTTTAAGTGAAACAACTTGTTGTACTGTACAGTATATTTTGATTATATGTTTACTTACTAGATTTCTGTAGAGGATTTAAACCTTCTCCATGAAAAATTCAATACTTTATCTTTTATATAAAATGCCTATTCAAATAACATGTAATAAGTATTTAGCACTCCTAAAAAGGACAAAAATACGCGTCCATCATTCACCGAGAGATTGAAACATTTAAACAAAATCTAGTCATGGCTCACATCAAAGGATTTACAAGTATAGTACAGTACAGCAACAACCTACTGTGGGAGTGAACAAACCAGATCCCAGTGAAGAAAGAAATCAGGAAGAAGCGCCAGAAGTTGATAGGACACATATTGAGGGAAGCAGCCAACTGCATCACAAGGAAAGCCTCCACTTGGAATCCTCAGGGCCAAAGGAGAAGAGGAAGACGAAAGAACACATTACGCCGAGAAATGGAGATAGACATGAGAAAAAATGAACAATAATTGGATAAAACTAGAAAGGAAGGCCCAGGACAGAGTGGGTTGGAGAATGCTGGTCGGCGGCCTATACTACATTGGGTGTAATAAGCGTAAGTAAGTAAGCAATAATTCAACTCAAATTTGATTAACATCATTCTCAGAAGGAGTTTTGTGGTGATTTTTAGTAATTTCAATAGTGGAAATCATGAGTCAATTGAAGCTAGACCACCATGGAAAACCTGAAAGCACTGGAAGGCCGTTTCGCCCTAATATGGAACATCATTCTATAGATCTCAACTAAGCCAGTTTACCTGAAATTATAAGTTAATGTGACCGAGAAAGTTTCAATTAAATGATGAAATAAAGATTCATTACAGAATAACCATGAGTTATTATACAGTTGGTTGATATATGATTTGTGAGAAAAAATTTCGAATAAATTGTCTTAGTATTTTTATGGTTATTTTCTTAGTAAAATTATTATTATTTATTATTGAAGGTCAAGTTTCATTTGGAAAATAACTAACAATAAATTTATCAATTAATTAGTTTATTAAATGCTTAAAACACACATCTAACTAGTGTAAAACTTGCAAATAATTTTAGGATGACCTTCAACAATTTAAATTATTCACTTAATCGACAAACTGCCGATATGACATAATCTATCAATTAAATTCGACTTAGTGACAATAAACTAAGAAAACTAAATTTACACATTCACTTTAAGTGGATTAAATTATCTGAAATTTTACAAGTTAACATTTGATACAAACACATTTTTGAATACCTAATGTTATTTAATAACAAATAGTAAGTTCATTATAGATAACACTCAGCTGATACCAAGGTCACAGGCTCTAGATAAGTCTCCAATCAAAATCGAGTAAAGCTTAATAGTGAGTTCAACTTTCTAACGAGTTGTGCACATAGTTTGGATACAGTGCACAAATAGACACATATACAGTTAATGAACATAACAAATTCTGTGGTCATTCATTGTGATTTGTTACTATTATCACCATGCTAATATCTGATGTTGACCGAAATGCCGTCAGTTTGACAACCTTACAAACCAAAGACATCACGAGTTTACAGTTAAGTACGCCACAAACTGTAACTACATTTACCACATCAACAAGAGAATCTGCTATGTCTACTTCGAGTGATATCCTAGGAAAGCAAGAAAATCAAAATGCTAATGCTCTTTCTGCTGAAGAAGCAATAGTTAGTTTACTTGAACGTACAAAATATACTTACGTACAAGAGAATGGGCAGAGACGTTATGGACCTCCACCAAATTGGCAATGTGAGGCACCTCCAAGAGGTTGTGAGGTATTTATTGGCAAAATTCCCAGGGACTGTTTTGAAGATGAACTTATTCCCGTATTCGAACAAATTGGACCAATTTATATGTTTCGATTAATGATGGAACTTAATGGTATAAATCGAGGCTTTGGTTTTTGTGTGTACACTAACAGAGAAGATACTAAACGAGCAGTTCAAGAACTTAACAATTACGAAATTAGAAAAGGAAAGACAATCGGAGTATGCTTAAGTGTAGATAACTGTCGTTTATTTGTTGGAGGAATACCCAAGAATAAAACAAGAGAAGAAATATTATCTGAAATGAAACGAGTAACAGATGGAGTCAAAGATGTAATATCGTATCCAAGTGTAACCGATAAGACAAAAAATCGTGGATTCGCATTCATCGAGTACGGTAGTCATAAAGCAGCTGCAATGGCCAGACGAAAACTACTTCCCGGACACATTCATTTGTGGGGTCACCAAATAGCTGTTGACTGGGCCGAACCAGAAAGAGAGGTTAATGAAGATATCATGTCAAAAGTAAGTTATTCTGTTTATTATTACTGTTACTTTTCAATAATATCATCTTAGAAGTCCTCATCTTTCATTATATGAACTTTTAATAGTCTATGAACTCTATTGCTTGTTGGTACGTAAAATGTTACTGAGATAATAAGATTAGAAGACTTTAATTGGATCTAACAGGAAATAAAAATGAATAAGAATCTTTTTGTACATAATACGAAATTCAACTATTTTAATGATAATCGACGTACATATGAGTATTTTATTTATGCAAAGGTTGTATTGTTTGATATAATTTTTGGTAAATATAAGACCTTATAAAAAGTCTGATGGAAATGATATACTTCAATAGGCATTTAAGATTTTATATAGCTTAACATTTAGTGACCAATATATTTAACATTGAATCCACTTATCATATTGTTTTATAAAGGTTTCAATCGTCTATTAAAAATAAAAAAAAACAGTAATGTAAGATAAGACAGAAAGTGTTAATATTTCTGTTCTTTCAGTGTAGAGTTTCACAAGAGCATCAATACAAAATTTTAAATCTATGATCGATAAATGAAAACAAAGGCATAATTAATCCATTTGGTAGTGTCATTCCACTTCTGACATTCATTTAAACAGTATTTCAATGACTAGATCTATCAGTAATAGACTTTAAATAACTACTTTATCACTTTAGGTCAAGATTTTATATGTTCGCAATCTAATGCTGTCAACTACAGAAGAGAGTTTACGTGATTCGTTTATTAAAGCTGCCGGTGGTGATCCTAACAGTGTTGAAAGAGTAAAGAAAATAAGTGATTATGCGTTTATTCACTTCAGAGAGCGTGAACAAGCTTCACAATGTTTGCATACTTTAAACGGTAAGTTGAAAATTCTCATATATATCATATACTTTGATACTTAGTTGATTTCTTAATGATTTTTATACGATTAAGGGTTTGTTCTCAGCCCTCAAATGCCGTGGTACGGTCAACGGTGGAGAATGTCAACTCTCTACCTCTCTCGCAATGTTCTCATATGGCCACATGTATATAGCTACTTTCACAGAAGTCCTGCTCACTTCTTTCTCTCGGTCAGTGTATTGTTTACGAAAGCGAGAGAACGAAAAGAGAATACCCAGCAATTAAACCGTTTTGGTGGGTACGGAAGATCCCTTCAAAAAAGTTGGGAAAATCTGATCCCAAACCAATGGTGTACATAGGCCTTTAGACTATGAGGGAACAAATGGTGTATGAACCTGTCCTTGGTCACCGAATACCATGGGACTGCAACTTCTAACGTTGCTGCGCTCCCTTGCGGATTAGACATCTGGGTCAAATGTTACAGGGGTATCTGCTTAAGAAAATCATTTGCGATTTTGGCATTCAGACAGTATATCAACCCACATACAACTACAATGATTTATGTGGAATATATAGATTTCGGTACCTCTTAGTACCAAGGTCTATGAGTTTAAATAAATAATATAAATTATTCTCATGAGAATATCCATATATGTATTCCACACTATGTAATGAATTGATGTGAAAGTCAATATCACAAAATAAGAATTATGTTTTAAGTCAAAATCTTGATAAATTCCCATCTCTTTTAATTATATCGGCGTATATATATGCAAATTTTGATTACGTCGCAATTACTTGATTAATTTAGTATTTGAATTAGCTCAAGAATAAATCCAGTTACATTTTATACATATAATAATAAATAATAATGATAAAATCATTAGTTATACGTCAGCATATGTAACTATTTTCATTATTTTCATATAACTAGGTTGAGAGTTAATTATTCAGTACACCAAGTGTTAGATTATTACCTACTTGTAGATATCTGAAAAGTGTAATCAATATATATATATATATATTGCATTACCAAGATGAATTATATATGTAAATCTATAGTTCTTTAGTAGTCAAAAATGTATATCTATATTTTTTATTCTTGTAAAAGGGTGCACAATGAAAACACATTTACTATGTGTTTTTTTCCTTCAAAACTTATGCTAATTAGTTAGATGTAACTTTTATCGGTTATTATACGTTGCTAGATTTATTCAAACGGATTATAAAAGAAATAAAGTGTTGTTAGAAAAGAATAGTATGTTTTTCTTTGTTTTTTGTATTAGATACAATAATAAGTTACTACATGCGTTACACATGAATTAACCGAAAATTTTATGTGCCATTAGGTTTTCTTTACAAAACAAAAACTATTAGCATATTTATTCTACTCATATTTAGGATTGATTCTTTACGCTATAAATTGTTTATATAGACTGATATATATATATAGATTGAATGTACCATTACTCAACTTTTTTTTCTTAAGTAGACGTTCTTTGTGATAAAATGGTTAGAAAGATAAAAACGAAAAAGATTTTAGGAATAGCTATCATGATTAAATGTTATTTAATTAACATCGATATCACAAATGAATAGCTATCTTATAATGAATCTTTTGTTATTCATCTTTTTACTTTCATCTTGTCGTGTTAATGTGGCATTGGAATTAGAATTAAGAAATATTTATATCAGATTGTGAATTGGTAACAATTTACTGACTAATATCTTGTGAACAATACTTAGTTGTTGTAATACCAATATATGCTTCTTCATTTCTTAACTTATTCTAAAGATTTAATGCTACAAACCCTTTGAGAAGTCGAAAATAACACGAATAATAGTTGAAGGACAAGTATATGTATTTATTTTCTTATCAACTGTTTATAACCTTAATGGAATCACTAAAATGTATTGAATAGTACAACATAGTATCGTATAAATAAGATACTAAACTCTATACGGTTAAAATCACAAGGTTTATCAATATGGTTATCAATTAATTTATATGATCTGTATGTGAAAACTTCAGATTATGTTATGTTTGGGCTAGAAAGAAATTAGCCTTACAATGAAAACGATCAAAATGTTATACAATAATTTCCTCGAGAATATTTACAGGTTTAATACAAGTCTAGTGGAGTAAGTAAATATAAATCAAACAGCGAAAGTAAATGCATTTTGAAGTGGATAGATGTCAGCATATAAAAATAAATAGATAAATAAACCAAAAGCAGATAAGAAAATCTACATTGACATTATATTCATGAACAAAGAACTGTCACTCTCAGAATGTATATATTAGGTGTCTTGACAGCAATACAATAAACTATGTTAATTTTTAAAATGATAATATTAAATGAAGCTAGACCACCATAGGAAACCTGGAAGCACTGGATGTCCGTTTCATCCTAGTCCGTTGGATACCGGCTCAGTGGTCTAGGGGTTGAGCGCTCGCGCCTGTGGTGATAGGTTTTGGGTCCGAGTCTCGTGCAGCGGGATCGTGGATGCTCACTGCTGAGGTGTCCTATACTAATATGAAACGGCCGTCCAGTGCTTCCACGTTTTCCATGGTGGTCTAGCCTCAATCGACTTCTGAATTCAACTATAAAATTACTTAAATCTCCACAAAACCCCTCTTTTGATAATATTAAATGACTTTGAAATATCCACATTCTATATATAAGTTATTGATCAAAGGTCACAAAACTTCACAATTAAGGATTTTAGCGCTCTTAATTCACAATTTCTCTAAACTATTTTTAAAACTACTTAAGCTAATCGTCTTATTTGTTCTCCTAATTAATGCGTTTTATCACGTACATACAAATTAACGAATATAGTTTTTCATAAAATGCGTAGGAGATTAATCGATTTTCAATTGCTTTAGACAACAGTTCATTTGATATATGTTAGTGTTTTCTATAATATTCACCTAATGATATTGCATTTAAATAACTTAATTGATAACTCATGTCATCTTAAAGGCTGCTGCTGATTTCGATCATAAAACACAGTATAGTTCAATCGAATCAATATATTTAAGTAATATGATTAATTTTGTTAGCAAATAATGAAAACTCACAAAATAAAGGGAATTCATATAATTGCTTTTCAACCAATACTTCTATTGTTCTCACTTTCAGAGAATAGTAGATGACTAAAGTATAAACTTTCTAGTATTATAATTTCTAAAATATATCAGCTATTTTATCCAGAAATGATTAAAGTACTGTAAGTAAACGATAACACAACTGTTCTTTAAACTAAAATTCTCAGTAGAATTATTCCTTTATGCCATTCTCTATCGTATGAAAGGTGAAATTTGTGAGTTTTTGTTTGATTATTTCTCTCGAAATGTTATTTTCTCCATGAAATAAATACATGGGTCAAGAGTACCACATTACTAGCATTTGATGATCAGTATTTTTATAGAATTACAAATTAGGTATACATTTTAATGTTAGATTTCCGGTTGAAAAATCTTTCTGTTTATATCGCTTGATGGTCATTAACCTTTAACCATAGTATAATTTGCTTAGATTCCATATGTAGTTGTGGTCAAAGTGACAAAGAGCTGGTAAAATTAATCAAATCAGAAACATATATATTATTTTCATTGAGTCATTAGTTTTGAATTTATCATAATAGGAAACAAAATATTTTCTAAATTCAATATATTACACTTGATAGGTCAAATTAGTCATAGTAGTGTAATGAACGAGAACTCAGGTAGGGACAACCGTTATATTATTTAATGCAAAATTACAAAATATCTTGATAAAATATAAGAACCATACATCAAATATTTCATTTGGAAATCTTCCATTAATTGTCCTTCACATTCTGTATGATTCCTCCAATTCACAATTCGTTTCTATTTTCCCTTCCTCTTTTCTCCGATTCTATCTTCTTAACCTTCTGTTGCCAGGCTTTCCACTCCCGATCGGTGTCACATACTACTTATGTCGACAGACATAAGTAGCATACATCACAGCAACAGTCTACTGATATTCATTATATACACCTGTTTCTTGAGCATTGAATAATTCAACGTTTATTGCTCCCTAGATTATTTTAATCATTTTGTATTTTAATTGAATTCTTTTGTTGGTAATTTTTGTGGAATTTTGGACTACTTAGCTTGCATAACATGAAGTACTGTAAATGACCAATAAAGCTTTCATGATCTTTCTATGAAAATTATTAACACAAATATTAAAAAGCAACCTTGTAGAGATTTTGCTTAAATATCAAGTAAGTTGGCTTGAATAGTTCTTGTTATTACTGATGTTTGTTTGTCAGTTGTTGAATAACTATGAAGTCTGATTCCATAGATGTCTAGCACATAACCGACTGAACCGTCTCGACGTTTTGTTCGTGTTTCTAAATTTTCAATATCCTTTTCTTTGAGTAAAGTTTATGAAAACAGAAATTTCTAATTCAGTTTTTTTGTTACTTTATTGTAAATTTCATCTTATTTAAACGTGTTCGGACCAAATGATGTTTTATGAATGACCGAATATTTGCTACATTCACAATGAGCTGATTTTTTAAAATAGATAATAGTGAATAGATATAAGTCTGGTGTCTGGAAAACAGAATAGAACACATTTCTAACATTACTTATACGTTTTCTGATTTAATATGAATCTAAATAAACTAGTCTTGTGAATAATTTTTTATTCTGTAAATGGCGTACGTAAAGTTCATTTAAAGGTGCTACAGTAGACCAAGGACCACTGGATATCTGTTTCGTCCTTGTATGAGAAGGAATTAAGACCTTTGGGTTTTGGGGAAAGAGCTTAACCACTAAAACTACTGAACTGATATCTAGCGGTAAAAACTTAGAACTTCAGTCAGTTTGTAGTACATAACGACAATCATTGACTACTACTGATCACATTTTTTCCCTCTACCTCTGTTTGAACTCCATTGGTCACTAATTCCCATCTATTCTTCAGGAACTCATCTCAATCCTAGACGATGTGATGAGTGTACATCTCTGAAGACTCTGGTGCTAAAACAAAAGAACTGTATAATAGTTCCTTATTTTGAACGGTATCTCGGCTGAGATCAATTCGTAACGAATCCAATCCACGTTTTATTGTGAAATAATGATTTTTGACTGTGATACTAATTTTGATAAGAAACTTTTTTCAATGAACATGGATAATGATATTAGATTATGCCTAACTTAATCAGTTCCGTTTATGAAAAGTAGTGAAAGGTTTAGATGTAAGTTTTCAGTATTTTTTTAGAAAACGGATAGTAAAATATGCGTAAATATTTTTATCGAGCGGCTATCATGCAAACAAATGACACTTAACGAACGAAGAAAGAGGAACACTACTACTACTACTAACAAAAATATCAACTGTTACTGGTTCTTGGCAGATTGTGTCCTTTAACAGTATAGCTGAAATGTCAGGAGAAATTACATTTAAAAAAAAACGATATAAAGTTTAGGGTGAACTCATAAACAATTATGTTTTGTGTTTATGATCTACTTCATATGCTGAAAATTAGTTATGAAGGTGATATATTTATTAGTTATTTTCACAAGAATGATTTAAATCCCGAGAACATATATACACTTAATTTCTGCTTCTTGATATAACATTGAATAATACAAAATAATAAACTTTAATGACTGTCAACTGTTAACTCTCTATTTTAGACTGTAACATGCTGCAGTGATTTGAGTATTCACTGAATTTGTTATCCTATCAGTTGATCCTTGTCTAAATGATATACCTATGTGCCTTTTGTCAGTATAGAAGCTGGCTGTGTCATACAGTGATTAAGTGATTTCTGTATTTACTTAGATTGTCTGTCAACCCGAACCATAACAATCCCTTGTTGAAACGAATGGACAGAAGAAATTTGTAGATGAAATACGAATTTTATTGGTTAAAGGATAAATTATAAGTTTAAGTGTATTTTGCCTGTTGTATTCAATGATTTCAAGTGGAATATTTCTTAATATCATGGTTAATATAACTTACAGTCAACTATATAAACCCACAATTGTGTGTGAAAAAATAAGTTTTTTACTATTCTTCGTCTTTTTCAAGGGCTGTATGTATCCAAGAAATAAATATTTTAAATAAAATCGAATTGTTTAAATTCCTTTTATATTTAGTGTGAGGATGACATTCATTTACTGTTTACAGATACCTATATTGATGGTTCAAAGATAGAAGTTACATGGGCAAAACCAGTTGACAAGAATGAGTTAAACACTCGACAACAGCCCTCTCGTACACCTGGAAGATTAATAAATGAATTAGTTTTATCAAATGATCAAAACATGATTGCCGCAGCTACAGCTGTTGTAGCAGCTGGAGGAATGTTACCCCATTTGGAATCAACATCACCATTTTTTTTACCATCTCAAGGCACACCTATGGGAACTGATCTTTTACCAACTAATTCAGATGTTTTAAACTCCGGGCGAACAGATAATAATCTTGGAAGTCCTAGGTGAGCTCAATTTAAAACAGCAATATAAACAACCCTTTACTCCATTCACATCTAAACGGAATAGGTTATGTAGTTTATATTATTTGACGAGGCTAAATATTTAACAAACACAGGAAACGCCTATTAATAATCTTATCATGACAAAGGTTTGTGGCGATTACTGGATTTTATTGATATCACAAACTAATGCAGGTTAGACATCCATTGAAAACTCGGAAGTGATGAACAGCTGTCTCATTCTAGTATTGCAGTTCCCAGGAGTACACAACCATGGTCCAACCAAGTATTAAAACTTGGAACTATTGGTTTCACACATAAATGTTCAATCTCCAGACCAATGGGCCGTAATCCAATGGTGTATTTGTCGAACTCCAATCAATTTACGATACTGGGTGTCTAACTTAGGTTAGTTCGTGATATCAATTTTATTAGTACTACCAAGCTTAGGTTTTGATGCCAAATCTGTACCGATGTTTCTATGTAGAATATAAGATCGATAAACCATGCTCATCAGGCTTAAACGATGCACTAAAATAACGTAATTTGATTACTTTTCGAAATGAGACTACTATCCTTTCTGAGTAAGCTTAAATGCAATTCTTCACTTTGGGAAAACTTCAAGTGAAATTTTAACCGTTGCTGAGTTAACCATGTAATTTTGTTCTGAAAATGATTGTATTATATTCCTTCAATCAGTATTATAAATAGGAAGACAGTCTTCTAAAATTGGTAGTGAAATTATAAACTACTTAAAAAAGCACGAAAAATGTATAAGAAACCAAATAAAATCTCACACATTTGTCGTTGGAAGTTAGCGTTGTTCATGCTTTTGTCACTCACGATTACTAGTGGCTCAGACATAAAATCGTAGGTTCGTATGAAAGCCAATATGAAATTACCCTTATACAGGGCATACTTATGATTTTGTCATAATCGCGTGGCAATAAAAAACAATTCAAGATTAAAATATTACTAAAAGATATTAAGAACTAATTTATCAAATAAAGAAATTAAGCTTTAAAGCCACGATGATATGGTAGTATACAAGTGTTGTTTCTTTTACACAGAGTTACGGCTTCAAATATTGAGTTGTTAACACCTCAGAAGTTCATAAGCTATTGAAACGCACAACCTTTGAATTTAGTTACCTGGCCATGTAGATAAATTATTTTAAAAGATATTTCTCGTGTTATATCGTTATCGGAACCGAAGATATGTTCGAATATTAAGCTACTGATCGTTTTAAATTCTTCCTTTTAAACCAATGGATAGTATTGCCTGGAGACGCTTATAGTAACTACTTGTTTTGTGTAGCCAATGCAGCTAGCTCCACAAGAGAAAGGCAACACATACATACCTCCGCGTTTTTGAATTCTTCTTCAACTTTTTTATGCTTGTCAAATGGAAGATTACCTTTCATAGATTTATTATCATCATATGATTTTTCCCTAACTTCTCCGTCATTAGGTAGATCTCTTTCAACACTTGAAAGTCCCAAATGTTATAGCATATATTCATCCTTCTATTTTTACAACAGGTTATTATACTTGATAAATTATTGTAAAGACGATGATAAAACACGAGTGAATAGCATCGTTCAAAACAACTATCTTTTCACAGTCCTATTTAAACAGTAATGATTCTCAACAACACTCGTGATAGAATAATTTTATTTCAACTTAAGAAAATTTTCGTCATGGTTTGGCATTAGCCGCAAAGAAATTACACAAATTATGTTCATACCTAGTAATATTTGTAGTTTTTCGAAAAATAAGTCAGTCAGATGCAAAGCAATTAAGCATTTTTCCGAACAACAATTATAATAATATGAGATCGGTTAAATTTCATACACTACTAACAATTGTTTTACTAGTGGTATGAAGCTGAATTCCTCAAGAACGGGCCGAAGGAATGCGGCTGGTAGTCGAAGCGCTGGAGCCCAAAAGGATCGTAAACATCCTGTAGAAGTGAGTAAATAGAATCATTTATTAATAGACCGTTTATTTTATTCATTATAATTATTTTATTGATTAGGTCGGATGATAATATCAGTAAAACTATTAGTAGTCTAATATGTACATTTTCCAAAGTGATTGCAAAATATTGATGTTTTATTTAAAATAAATAGTTACTTCGACCATTAATTATTTGACTTCAAGTAAATGTAAACTACCTCACTAAATTATTTGTACATTGATAGTAAATCCTATAGGTGAACTCTATAGTCAGTCTGCTTATCCTTAATTCTGCGACATGAATGATGGTACTAACAGACTCTAAATATACTCACGTCTGTTTAAGTTATAGGACGACAGACTTTAATTTTAAACTTTAGTTAACTAGCATTGTCTTAGAATGTAACAACGTGCAGTTTCTCAGTTTAGCAGGTGACCTATATATATATATACGCTGTCGTTAAAATCGATAATAAACCGACGAGTTGATTTGTTTACATTTGAATCAGTAAGAAGACATATTTTTTGACTGTATTTTCAATTCCGGTGTACACATTACAACTTCGCCTGTAACAATTTACGTATACATAATAATAACAAAAATAATGATTACACTTTGACAAAAGGTTAATTTACAAAGGGTATATTTGTTTATTTAATAATTTAATAAACAACCAAATGTAAGTCATATAAGTCCTGTTTATATCATTTTCGACATGGCTGACACATTTACAGATAAAAATTCTATTTAAAAAAATAAATCTTCATGAAACATCACTTATCAAAGGATCATTGAATTCCATAGGTCGTTTGACGACTGTTTCATTGTGATTGGTCGTCTATGGCCATTTTAGACCTAACTATATAGTCCATGAATCCAATGATAAACTACGGTCACATTCAGTTACATAGTTGTAATCTAGTTGTTGATATTTTTTAAGTTTAGTCACCTCACAATAGAGCTCAAATGTTATCCGATTTCATTACCGGGCAAACACTTCACTCCAAGCTTGAGTATGTTCATAGGTCATGGATATGTTTCAGCTCCCAAAAGGCTGATAGGTAGTGGAAAAGTAAAGTAACTTTATTATTAGCCTAGTTCACCTTACATCAGCCAATCAATTAATATGCATAAATAGGTAGATTAAGATCATGACTGATTGCTTCTTTTTAATTAATGATTATTTGTGTAATACTTTTAACCCAACAGGATTCCAACATACTTGGCCACAATACTAACGTCTTTAGAATATTTGGTAAATAACTAGTAATGAAATCCAGGTTATGTTTGCAGTCCATTTTGGGACTCGCACTAATTAAGCTAAAAATTTGTAAGTAAAGGCTGTGTCGAGATAATCTGCTTATGATATGTACAAGCAACAGCGACTGAGTAATTACAGTCCTGAAAATCGACAATGGAAAATTGAAAAACTCTGCTAAAATTAACCTTCATCTTATATTCCTTTGTTTCTATGTTAATTTTACAAACTGAACTGTTAATTCACTCAAAAAAAACAATGTGTATAGTTTAAATTGTCTAATATACGTCTATATTTTAGAATTAAGAACTTAATTTATAGACATTTCTGCCTGTTTATATTAACATTCTACCTTCATAATCATTGCATGTCAAAAATTATTAAATTATTAACTCGAGAATGATATCAGACACCCTAAGTAATTTTGTGTGTCATAATTCACCAATATATATTACTTTATTCTCCGTATACATCTGTGTTAAACAAGTTATATACCGATCGAATCACTTGTCATTTCAGTTTTGTGATATATTTCACCCATTATTGTATAGCTTTTCCCAGTTGAATTATGTGTTTCAAGATAATCAACAGATGGTAGGTTTAAAAGATTCACTTAATGTTTATCAACATTGAGGTAAATTATACTTCATCTGACACTAAATTATCAAAGCCTGTTGATAACAAAGATTATTAGATGATCACAATGTTATATTGTGGTGTGCAACCAAAAGTAAAATGCGAGAGCTATACGGTAGATACTTCACTTGCAAAATTCCAATGAATCATCTCAGATTTCATTGTTCCTTCGTTTCCACACCAATCATTCTCTGCGCTCGTTCTCTTTCTTTCGATCTTCTGCCATCATACATTTCACTTTCAATTGGAGATACATACTACTTATATCTGTCGATATCAGTAGCACACACCACAATATTACACAGACAAATAAATAAATAATATAAAATCAAAAAATTAATAATAGCTATGTCAATCATATATCTTATCACTTGAAGTTTGTATACATTTTCCAAATTGTCAGACATTTGTCTATTACAAGAATAACAACAAAATATTAATTATACTTTTCAATCTGATAAAGTATCTGATCATTTGATAATACGATCAGAATTATAAACAATATTTAAGATCAATTTTATGCAATAAGATGATAAGTGTTACGTAAGGTTTAAAAGTAACTATGATTTCGTTAATAAAGTTATGTCAATATCACTTGAATATTTCATGTCTCATCTGCTAATAGATAAAACTTCAATTGAGTTTAATTAGTTATATTTATTTGTTTATGGAATATTCAAAATAAAGCATTGAGGAAAAAAATCCACGAATCAGTCAATTCTAAACATTAGTTTTTACTTACCTATAACAAAACTTCTTAGCTATGAAAAATTTGCTCTAAGTGAAACTCCTTAGCTTATTTTGATGAATTATAAACTCCAGGTATGTAATTAAGTATAACTTTTCTAGTTAAAGTATTATTCAAGAGTTTATAAACCTGTTGTTTTATACTCTGCACCCAATTTCGAAGAATTGACTACAATTGAGGGACACCAAAAATAGCATCATGGTTACTACAACTTAGCTGATTGCAACCTCAAAGGGTTACATCATATTAAACAGTGAAACTAATAATGCCTTAAGTTTAAAAGGTTTTTGTTTGATTACCAATACTGAAAGTAATCAAAAAATAACAGCAAACTATGCACTAACAGAAATAATAAAATAATAGATTAATCTTAGTCCTATTCTGAAAGTGAAAAACATTTCACACTTGTGAGGACTGTCAGACAATTGTCAGATTCCTTTGACGCTGTGAAACAGGCAAATTGGTTGCCTGTTGTATAAATAAATATACGATTGTTATAGTACAAACTATGTTTCAAAATCCCTGAAACTCCGATTACTCAGAGTAAAGAATTCGCTCGTTACACCACGTTGATTAAGGTAATAAACATCTGATATAGAAGGGTATTCAAAAAATAAAACAGCATTGTTTTACTGGTATGAAATTATTTAGCAGTACGGACTCACAATCTCTTCTTTTCCGAGATCAAAACCAGTACTTTCAGATGTAGAGGGAAGTTTTTAACCTTCAAGCAACTTGTCTAATTTTCTAAACGAAATACATTTCCGATAGTATTTTGAAAATTACTAAATTTATTGACACAAGTGAGAGAACCATTAGAGAAATAGTGAGTACTGAATAGAATTTTTATTTCTGCGTTTAAACTTAATAGCTGTTTGTGACCAGGAATGAACATACGATTCCTTCTAGATTTCCAGGTCTCTACAGAAAATACCACACAGGGACAAAATAGTTATTAATTCTTTAATAGGTATGAAAAGCTTTGATAAATATATCATTATCAGAAAGGGTTTGTGGAGATTTTAGAAATTTCACAGATTGAAATCATGAGTCAGTTGAAGCTAGATCACCATGGAAAACCTGGAAGCACTGGACGGATGCGCACTGCAGAGGAGCCTCACAATAGAGTATGTGTACACATAGGTATCAAATAAGTGGATACATAATGTAATAATACTTTATTAAGTCAAATAGCTCATGAAAAGTGTAAATGTTCTCACTTTTATCAGTGAATACATTTATCATTATATATTCGAATGTGTTTGAAAGTCAACTAAATAGATATTCAACTAACAATTACTTGTAGGAAAAGAAACTCGTTATATATTTTAGCGTTCTAAGTGTTTCAGATGAGTGCCTAATCTTGTATTATTATAAGGTACTTTGGTAATTATTTTTTTAAACAAACTAACTGCATAAATACTTTTGAAAACTATAAATTTATAGTAATTTCCACGTAAACTTATAAACAGTGAAACGAAATATAAGATGACACAATGTCGTTTACTTTCATGATACTTCATTGTAGTAGATGGTCAAGCGTAAAGTCCCGAGTCCTAAATAATATGGGATAAAGTTTGATATACTCGATATCACGTCCGGTAATATAGTTCATTTGCTTAAATTTAAACAACCAAACACTATATATTAATTACGTATGCTTATAATAGCCTATCGTATTTACAGCAAATATATTAAAGTACATGAAATCTAAAATCCTGCTTAATTCTGATCTTCATATTTGTTATCATAAAAAACCACAAATTACGTGATTACTATTACTAAAAAGTATATCATTGTCTAGTAACATTAACAAAAATCAAACATTTCAAATTGTCTAATACAGATCATTTACATAAAAGGGCATTGGGACTCTTCATGTAGTTTATTTTCGTCTTATTCCCAATACCTTAAAAATGATTATTATTTATTAACTATTCTTATATAAAATGAGAAGTTACAACATCCAAGAAAGTCCAGTTTCAGCTGGATTTACATCAGATCAAAGTTGGTTCGTTATTGAAAGCACTTTTCCACGATTATTATTAATTATAAATGAGTTGATAACTGTTTAATCAGTATATTAATGTATAGGTTGTAGAGATTATTGCATTTTATTGAGATCATGAACCGATCTCTGTTGGACAATCATTAAAAACCTGTAAGCGTTGTACATCTGTTTTATATCAATTTGGGCCTTTTCAAAAGTGGGAAACCTTTATTAGAGTAGTTTAACACTATAGGATTCGAAAAAAGTACTCACGAAAGACAATGGAAGATAATTTAGCACTATAGCGTATTGACTGGAGTTACACTTTCATACCATTGGATTTCGGTTTAGTAGTCTAAATGTTAAGTGTTTGCGAGTGAAGTCAATGGTCTCAAGTTTGAACCTTTTTAGTAGACTCATGGATAGGCTTTGCCAAGGAGCCCAATACTAGAACCCAACAATTGTTGAAAGCATCTAGGTTTTCAACAGTGATTTGACATGACTTGACTAATGATCTCATTAATTAATATATAGTTACGTAGTATTTTATCAAACATTATTCGTCACGTTAAACATGTTTAACTCACCATTTTTTGTATATTTTTTCTATATCTAATTCCTTTTTCTATCTTGTGAATAATTTGAGGCAAGGCTAAACATCAATGGCGTTTATGCGATCAGTTAGTAAGTTTATCATGAAACAAAAATTAAAAAGTGTATGCAGTTAAAGTAAATCCTGATAACAAGAACGTGTAGTCATATATATATATATATATATATATATATATATATATATATATATATATATATATATATATATATATATATATATGTATCACGATAATAATTCAACAATTATCAGTCTGAAACTACTAAGGCAAAATATTAACAAAATTGCTTACAATAAAACAATCGTATCCTAATCCATATATTTTTACTAATAAATTCCTGCTACACTTATAATTTTCAATTCCTATCACTTTTGTCCTAATTAACCCCATTTATTAATGATTTTTATTTCGCTGTTTTAAATGCTCTATTTATGATATTGATAAGATTTATGCTATTTGCCTATATATATATATATATATATATATATATATATATATATATATATATATATATATATATATATAAACATCACAAAACTTATCATATTTTTCATGGTGTAATCACAAATAATTAATAATTTTGTTTTGTAATAAAATATTTCCCTTTACAAATTGTAATATACTACTCATATTTGCATATTAGTGATTTGATTATGAGAAAAAAGATTTAAAAATTATAAACGAATCAATGAAAAATTTTGATAATTATTAATTACTTTCTTGAATCTAATATAAATAGAGATGACATTTGTAGTAATAATACTTATCTATTTTAATGAATTGCTGTGTTCCATGGTAATTTGATATGTGATCATTGAAATTAACAATCTGAACTTGACAAACCGGCTAGTGTAAATACATTTTCTACATACAGTTTAGCTATAAATTGAGTTCATCAAACGTATACTAAGTAACTAAGTCACATTGAATTATACATGAAATACTTATTGAAAATATTATAAGGAACACAGTTTGGCTACATATGAGATAGAAGAAAGCTCAAAAAAATAAAAATATTATTATTATCCATAGGAATGATCGTTTTCTGTATCATATGTATTGATTTCATAAAATATTCAGTTGGTCAGATACAAAGTAGGACCAGGTATATATATATTCATTGGTCCAAATTGCCACACCTCATTAGCACAACAAGATGAACACCGAATCCGTGGAAGTAGTCAATCAACATTTATAAAATATTACACAAAATGTATCTTTTCCACGTGTTAGTTAAGTAGACAGTTAAATGTCAAATAATATTTTATGATAATAAAATCCACCACTGAAATTTATACTCATTTCCAAAAACAGTACCTTGTACACATGTTCCTTGGAGAACTTTACATGTATCTTGCTTACACTGTTTAAAATTCGCACTAACAACATAAATCCCATACCATGTCTGGTGTAATAGCGGTAAATTAATTTGTAATTCAAATATATATTCAGTGTCATCTAATGGTTTCTTATTCTCTAAAGTTAAACTAACATTCTCAATAACAATGGTCTATGTTACATTACGTATCTGTATATGTATACTTATGATGTAATGATTAGTTAGTTGAAGCATTCAACTCTTAGGTAATGTGTCTTAGGTCTGAACATCGATTCATTCATTTATTCATTTACTCGTGTTTAAACTGATGTGCAATATCTGCAACCTTTACCCAATTAAGTGTAACTAAAAAGAGAGCATATAAGATGTGTCAAGTTATCAAATTCTATATACTGATATTTCATTAAATTATTTCTTTAACGTAATGATTGTAGGGTCATTGTATAGACCTACAAATTACTATATATTATGATTAATAAGTCAAGAAACTTGATTATCAACAATACTACAATTATTTATAAAATGCATCAGAAACTCAATCCATTTCATTAACTGATGATTGGTTTGTTTGTTTACTTGTTTTTAATATCAAACTTTCGGTAAATCATCATGACTGAATCTAATGAGATAGTTTGATTTGTTTTTTTTCGAAAATATGGTTTGCTTACCGTAAATCTCGTGTGTGTGTGTGTGTGTACGCATGATTTCTCTATGAACAGAAAAAAGATAATCAACTAATACTTACTAATTTCTAGCTAGTCAGTTAGTAAACTATCTAATTCACCAGCTTATTTATGTGATAATATACCGAATTTCTTTTTCTTTGATTACTAATGCACTGTAACATTTCTTCTTATTTTCTTTTTGTAACAAAGAAACATAACAGTTAGCCTTGTGCTTAAGGCTATTTTACTGATCATACTTGTTTACTAATAACATGCATAGAGATTAAAATAAAAATAAAATTAGCTAGAAGACAATTTCTGCCAAATTTTAATTATTTTTTTTTCTTTTTGCCTATTAAAAAAATAATCACTAATCAATTTTATTTTTGAAATGATTCATTTGGTTTAATGTAAGAAAAAAGAAACAAGTGTCTTTTTATTATGCATTAATTCGTTAGTTTCATCATTATCATTATTATTTTTTTCTTATTATTTTAGAAGTTACAGCAACGTCAGTTGAATCCGTTGGCTCTTTTAGAGGTTAGTCTCAATTTATACAATGTGTACTTCATTGAAGAAAAGAAATATGTATACAATTTAATTAATTCATATCTAATTGTATGGATTTATATATGCTTACCCTTAAGAGTGTAAATGTTTGCATATGAAAGTTTCATTGATTCTTTTTTTTGATTGAGATGATGAACCGACTGATGTTAGACCACCATTGAGAACCTGGAAGCACTGGACGGTCGTTTCATGATCTCTATCAAAAACTTAACAATATCCACAACCTCTAAACTGATAATTACCATGTGCTCACTAGTGACTAGCTTCCTGGGAAAGTTTTCGGAGTTCTGGTAAGCAGCCGTGACCAGTGGAGCTAATCCGTGTTGGGTAAAAACATATGTCTTCCTCAATACAATGGAAGATGGTCAAGCAATTTCGTGGATTGGTTGAGGTTAGACATTAACACCATTGGTTGCCGGCTCAATGGTCCAGTAGGTTAGGCGTTCGCGCGCGAGACCGAAGGCCCTGGGTTCGAATCCCGCGAGCGGGACCGTGGATGCGCGCTGTTGAGGAGTCCCACAATAGGATGAAACGGCCGTCCAGTGATTCCAGGTTTTCAATGGTGGTCTAACATCTATCGGTTCATGATCTCAATCAAAAACTTAACAATCTCCAAGACCCCTAAACTGTCCATTGATTCTCTTAATTATCTATCTCATTACGTTTAGTTCTTCTGTTTCATTCTTATCATATCTATTTATTTCAACAAGTGTAGTTCCAATTAATGTCAAATGTAATTATTCCTTATTATTACCTCATTGCATTAGTAATCACTAGTCTTCTTATATGTATGTACTAAATATTTTTTTTAAAATGACTAGTCAAGTCAACATTCTATAGATATCTCTTTTTTAATTTTAGAATTTAAATGATCTATGTTTACGTGATGGTCTTGGTTCTCCGATATGTAGTGCAATACCAGTTGATTTCATTGATTCAACTACAGGAAATAAGGTTCAATTGTATGTTGGACAGGTAAGCATTAATTTAAGTCGTTAGATTTACTTTCTGGTACTTTTTATTATTAAGATCACTAACTGATTCATGTTCAGCCTAAAGATTTTTGTTGGTTATTAGGTAACACTTTATGCAGTAAGCTAGGAATGACTTAGGCGCATATCCATTCATTTTAATGTAAACCGTTTTTTAGTAGTTGTTTATGATAATCCTTGACTACGGAAAATAAAGTGGCCAGGTGGATTTGCCATTTCACAAATTTAAATATATCATCAGCTCTGGCGAGTTGACGTCCGAGTAAATTATGTTATAGTAACAAAATTTTCACTTGATTTTAGTCAATACCTAAGACTCTATCGAGATCCTCGTTTGCCCACCAAAAGATTAGTATTCTGAACAACAATTCATGATGTAATGATCTAAGTTCTGAAAAAGTAAACTATAGAATGTAAAGACATGCGTAAATGAAAATTATTTCATAATACTCATCTTCAGAGTATTGAACCCATATGATAACCTAACGAACTTAGTGATAAAACAGTTAAGAGTACAATTTCAGTTAGATCTGAAACAACCAGTTATCATTAGCTCACATGGCTGATGTATTTTTTACTCATCCCTAGTTGGCAAATATCCAGTTAGTCTTGAAGAACACTAGTGACGAGCAGTGAATATATGTTATTACCATATAATGTGATCGATTTACCCCAGCCTAGCATTGAGATATGGATTTTTAGGTTTATATTAGTACACTTGTATTATTATTTAATACACGGGGACTTTAGTCGTTACTTAAAATGGATACTAGTTCTTAAGATTTATTCACTCTTTACCTCTCACAAGAGCTGAAGTTTGGTACGGATATACACTTTTTCTTTTTTTGGTAGAATTTTACCATTTAACCAAACTTAATTTATTTGATAGTTATTATTATGTTCTGTTTAGCTGTTTTTTCTGTTTTCATTTTTCACTCTTATTACATTGAAATGAAAGTGGACAGTATGAAATCATGTCCGTTTGCGTTGCAAGATCTATGAAGTAAATAATTAAAGTAATTTTTCCAAAATGGTTGTCAAATCTTGCCCCCAAATGACCTGGTACGGCCGAGAGTGAGGATAGTTATCTGTCCCTCTCGAAATGTTTTCACATGGTCACGCTCATATGGTCACCTTCAGGGAGGGCCTATTCACCAGCTTCTCGCAACGAGGGTGTTGTTTACGAAATTCAGGGGACGAAAACCCAATGTCCAGTGCTTTAACCGAGTTGGTGGACATGGAGAGTCCATCTAGGGGATTTGAATAACTCTGATTCCATACCAATGGTGAACATGGGCTTCAGAATCCTAATGGTGTATGGACCAATCGTTGGTCACCGGCTACTATGAGACTAAATCTGAACGACATCATCAGAAGAACGATGAAAGCTATACGACCAAACCATCCAGCTCAGAGAACAAAACTCCATCAAAATCATCCACCTGAGCTAGAAATCTTCCCCACCACTACATCTCCTGGTGTATCGCCACCGCCTTGTGGATTAGACCTCTAAGTTAATGGTTCCGGGTGTGGCCACCTAAGAAATCCACCTGTTTCAAATTAGACACCTAGGCAGTATTCCAATCCTCACATAAATCGGATGATTTATGTGACGCATTTCTATTTGGTACCTCCTTGTATTAATATTTACGCGTTTTAAAATAATAATAATAATAATAAACAATAATAATGCCAAAACTTAGACAAATAACTGTGATTGAAAAATTACAGTATATTGATTTGAGTTAATTAATTGTTATGATAAATATATTGATCATGCTATTCATTATGATGTCCTATAAATTAATTAAAATTATTATTCCATTTATAAATGGATTGAAATATTTTCACAATGTCATTATGATCAAGGGTCAATCATACATTATTGTATATTGTACAATATGATTTATATAATAAATGACAGATATCATTGATTTTTGCTGAATTCATAAATAAACTTGTACAGTAGATAGATTAAAATCGAAACCAAAAATTAAATATGTTTAGTTCAATTGTATTAATATTTATACAGTAAGTTAAAAGCTAAATGAGATAAACAGGATAGATGATAGTTTGTTTTGTTTGTTTTTTTCTTTATTTTTTTGTTTGTTTGTATCGAATTGTTTATCAATATTCCTTTCAAGTATACATATAGTAACTAAAACATGATTCATATAGTGATTATCGAATTATTTTTTTTAAAACACAAATTCACTGGAAATAGAACAAAAACAAAACGAAGAAACTCATTGAATGTTTAAATATCTTTTAAAGAATTAGTTTATCATGGTTTAAAAAGATTAAGCGAATACTATTCGAATGATAAGGATTATTCACTTGGTATTTGTTTATTTGTATCTTCTCACTGATATTTACTTACTTACTTACTTACGCCTGCTACTCTTAATGGAGCGTAGACCGCCGACCAGCATTCTCCAACCCACTCTGTCCTGGGCTTTCTTTTCTAGTCCCATCCAATTCTTGTTCACTTTTCTGATGTCTGTCTCCATTTCCCGGCGTAATGTGTTTTTTGGTCTTCTTTTCCTTAGGACTGTAATTTATTAGTCTCTTATGGATACATATGTGTATACTGTGTGTATTGCCTCGATATTGCTTTAGGTCACAAACATTCTAAACAAAGATGTATAGTGGCTAACAGTGAAATACAGGATGTGGGTTTCATCCTATTTGGGACTCTTCAGCTGATAAATCCATCTATACTTTGTAATTATTATTAAAATCATTAAAAAGAAGGAATAACACCAACTAGACTATAGGATGAAAAAAAGTGTGAATGTAGAAACATAATTAGTTTACTAGAATACCTTTCAGGATTATATATTTCATCTAAGTTAGTGTAGATTAATCAACTTCAAATGATGATTTATAAACCAGTGAATGATCAATTAGCTTTATACAACTGGATGTGTTGTCAAAGACTGTACTAGTAAGGGATAAAGAGTACCTTTACTAAATCAGAAGCACTTTTTATCGATACCACTTAGAAAAGCTCAATAATTAGTATAGTGAAAAAAGTAAACAGATCCCCGGATTGGTATAGCGATCCACTTGACTATTTGCTTATTTTACTGAACTAACAATATTCATTGTTGTTAATATACAGGAAGACAGCTGAATTTGAGGATAACTCAAATTCTCAACACCATTTAATTGGTATTATTGCATAACAGCTAATATTTGAAAATATCTAATAAAGCTTTTTTGAATTTTGAAAGGAAATTTTTACTAATATATAGTATTACAATAAGAAACAAGCTATAGAAATACCTTTTATTACTCATTTATAGAGTTGTTTTTAAACTAAACTTAGCGTTTAGAAACAGAATAATTTATACGAATAAATATACGTTTGCATACTTAGATATATGCCGAAGAGGTTCGCTTCACGAGCAAGGGCAAAAGACATTTTTAGTTGATTGGTTTTACCACAACGTTATGACAATTAATTCCTTATACTTTTATATCATAGCTGATTACCTTAAAATTACTAGTGTTATTATATTCAGATATTATCTGAACAAACAATTTCTCAACATGCTCTATTTACCGAATTATTTCGTTTGAATGAGTTACAGCAAGAAAATTAAATTTAAATTTAAAATGTTTGAAATAGTTATATTGTAATGAACGGGAACACAAGTGGGGACAACCAAATGTATTTGAATACAAAATAACAAAGTCTCATAGTAAAATCTGAGAACCATACAGTATATAATTGATTTGCAAAATGTCAATCAATTGTCTCATACTTTGGTGTCCCTTCGTTTCCATACCAATCACTCTCTGTTCTCATTCTCTTCTCTCCGACTTTCTTAATTTTTCACTACCAGACATTCCACTGTCGATTGGTGATACATACTACTAATATCTGTCTACATCAGTAGCACCCACCTGAATACATGTAGAATTCGAGATATAGTATAACTGTTGTACTTTAACAATCATTATCATTTTGATCAATTAACTTCAAACTTAAACTATTCAGAAAAATCTATTTCACGGAATCTTCAAATAATTAATAGGTTACACTGCATAAAACTTTTTTCGCAAAAATTTCAGTTGTTGAAAATTAAAATTGGGTTAGAATATTGATCCGGAGATGTTTGTACTTCAGTCGTGATACATTATACTGATAAGATTTCAGATTGTGTTTTATGAACTTTGTCAACAGAATACTTGATAATTAAACTTTCTAACGCGGAAAAGAGTAACTTCACTAAAATAAAGGCAATGTTTATATCATTGTTAAAAAGGCTTCAATTACCTCATTCTTGATATGCTTAACTCAATTATGATCAGTTTTGTTTCACAAGTGAGTGGCTATCTGAAATGGATAAATCGTTATGCATTTGAAGCAAATTGTTCTGTTTGAGTTCCTGTGTGGATATCAACAGTGGAATGCAGGGACATCTAGATGCCGAAAATCAAATAAAATGGAACGTGCATCCTAGATTCCACTACTATTCATAAATCTATCTTTTCTATAGAGAGAGAATATTACTAGTCCATTTTTAACTCCTCTACAATTCTATTACTATCTTACAGTATCGTCAGTGGATCTTTTAAATACTAATTTTGTTTAAGCAAATGCGGAATTCAAACACACAAAGAACACTTGAATAACATTATTTTGATTAGTGTATGTGTTTTCTTGTTAATAAACTAAACTTTAATGTATACTTGGTATCTTTTCATTATATCAGGTTTATATTCCAAAACTGCAATTTCGATGCAATACAAGTCGGTATTATTTAACATCTACTGAAGCTAAACTGGGTGCTTCTGAAATAGCTATTCAAAGTCTTCCATTTAACCCTTTTAACTTGAATGAAGGTAAACAGTATTAATAACAGAATGCTTGACTTTATATTTCTTTTTCAAGTAAATCTTTATCAATTTTTTCGTAAATTGAAATTAATCACTAAAACAGTCAAGCAATCTACACATAATACAGATTTTACAAAGCTTAACATGTCTCTACTCGAAGATATTGTCACAACAAGTAATATATATATAGCATTTTAAAATCGTTTTGATAAATGCATTACCATACATTAGTATCTGAATTTGAACCTAGTTTCTTTCAATTCGTAGTGAACTATGATTTTCAAGTCATTTTAAAAGTGTAATAAACACTGTTCTTACGTTACATAATCGAAGTCAATTGAAAGGAAATGAATAGTGGTTTTTTTCTAAGTAAGACTTTTCTATACAGAATAGCCTACTTCATCTAATCGTTTGACCAGTCTCTTCTTTCAAACTGTCAAATATCTAGTGATTTAGAAAATATTCGTTTAAACAGCAAACTGACATTGCAGTGAACGAAGACTTGGTAAGGTGAACCAATTTATTGTGTAATGCAAAATTAAAAAATGTCTTCACAAAATATAAAAAACATACATTAAATATTTCATTTACACATATTCCATCAATTGTTTCATACAAACTTCATCACTGCTTCATTATAGTCATTATTAAACTTACTTTCTGCATATTCCCGGTTGATCTTTTCAACCTTCTTCTGCCAAGCATTCCACTTCCGATCGGTGCTTCATACAACTTATATCTATCAACATACGTAGCATACACTACAATATGATTATCCTCTTATCTTAAACACTAATAAATCAACCATTTAGTAGGATATATATTTCATTTTAGTTAATAAACTTAGTATGAATCTTCCCTAATGTAGAAGCAATTCTAGTTTAATTAGTGCTAACAAGTATGACGTCTTAGCATAGAACATCATATTCGTTTGGACGAATTATTCGATAATTAATTCTAGAGTGATGATGATGATGATGATAATGATATGTGTTTAAATTTAGAGAATAAACTTTTTTCATCAATTCAGTAAATTTCATGGAGTATTAACTGACATCATCATAAATATGACTAGATCTTATGTTTGATTGTTATCATCAGTTAACGCAATTGTTCAATTTAAGTACTACTGAATGTGAACAAGTAAAGTTCATCATGAAAAAAAAATTACGAATTTATAAGAACCCATTATTCTGTAATATTTTGTAATACAAAATTATAGGCATATGCATTAGATCTGTAAAGAAAATACATTTTTGTTTACGTCAACAAACTTCGACTTTAATCTAAAACAAAATGAAGCTGTTTCACCGAACATTGATCAAGTATGATCCAGCATTATTTTATACTTTGATTAATCGTATAAAATATAAACTTTTTAAAAATGGGTTTAAGCTTGAGGGATCAGAAGAAAGTGTTAATAGACAAAGGTAGATGAATTCGAAACCATGCAACTGATTATGCAGAAAATAGAAGAAACCAATGAGATTTAGAGTGCCGCAAAACGGTAAGGATAAATGATCAGACTCTTTCAGTTGGTTAAGTTCGTTAACATCAATAGTTAATACCTAGTAAGCCATTCATCTTAGAGAGCTGTCTCTTGATAAGCATCTATTTTCCGCAGCGTGGTCAATAACAAAATGATCGAAGACCAATATACGTAACTATTCACCATACTGAGTTCCATCAGTATTGTATAGCAACTTAGTATACTATACTTTTCCCAATGTTTCATCCAACTGACATTGCTTCACGGAAAGTTTCTTTTTCTATCCAAACATACAGCATTTATTCAATAATTCTAAACAGAACCAAATTCAAATATTTTCAGGTAACTCGATATAATCCATCAATACACTTAAATAATAAGTGAAATTCTATACTTAAGAATCATAACACATAAAATGTAAATTATGTTAACATTATAACAGTTAACTTCAATGATCGCTTACAAGTCGCATAAATTATAAAAATAATCTGATCATTCAAAAAACAACGAGTAGGTTGTGTGATAGTTACAAGTCATTTAGCGGAAATATTTCATTAGTGTAAACACTAATTTCATCAAGATCATAAGCAGTTCTTGCTCATAAGTTTCTAACAGCAAGTAACCTAGGTCCACGGTTTCCCATAGATCACCTCTAAACTCCTGGAATCAATATTTCTAAATGTTTATAATACTTACGAATGAAATAGATCATTAGGAAAATTGATTGTTAAGTTCTATTATCCATAAATGGACGAATATCAGTCCAACAAAAGCTTAGTTACTGGTTGAAAATCTTAATGTTGTTATCTCTGATTACGATGCTAACTGACTTAAAACTGGATTTCTCAAAGTACCAGCTCCCTCCAGATTATAGAAACATATTATGTACCTGTAATATAGTGTTATAATATATTACAGGGTTATTTTTTGTGTTATCGTTATAACACGCATTTTTTATCTTTATATGTATTTTCAAATAAATAGATAGTTTTAGCACAACATGAAATAACTTTGAGATGGTGGAGAAGATTTGTAGCTCAGGTGGATGATTTTGGTGGAGTTTTGTTCTCCGAGCTGGATGGTTTGGTCGTGTGGAGAAAATATAGTTGTTCTCGAGTGGAAGCCTGCCTTTTGGCGAAATTCTCCCATTTTCGAACAACGAGAAGCGTATTACGCTCATATGATTTTGAGATGATGGAGAAGATTTGTAGCTCAGGTGGATGATTTTAGTGGAGTTTTGTTCTCTGACCAAACCATCCAGCTCAGAGAACAAAACTCCACCAAAATGAAATAACTTATTTCACCTAAGTTTTGTTAAGTTCACCAACTACATTTCTGAAAACAGTTAAGGTTTTGGTTTTGCGCTTTAATTTCTTTTAAATATTTCACCTTTACGCATTAGTTTAAATTGCTCGTTACCATGAAACTCATTTATACAACAGTGTTTTACCATATGATTCTTAATCATTTCATATTTCATCAAAGGAAAACAATAATTGTAGCCGAAATATATGAAATGACTTGACTGCAGTATTCTTTCCACCTTCTGACAACCTCTAAATTTATTTCTATATAGTTCCCCTCTCTATTACATCTTCTAATTCTCGTTGATAAAATAATCACTTATTCGACTTCGATACTCTAAAGGTCATAAAATTAGAGCGTTTGCAGAATACTTTGATGTAATTCCAGACTACTTGTGAGTAGCATGCTTATATTCATAAAACTAATTGGTGTCACAGTCATTCAGTGATAGGATAAGCTAGGCTTTTAATCCTAATGTTATTAATAATAAAAACCTTCAGTTATACATTATCCAAAACTGTTATGTGGTAGCCACAATACCGATTATCAGATTAAATCGAAGATGGAGTGTAGATTTGGACTCCAACAATCTTTTTATGTTATATTAGCTACGTTCTTCATGACAACGGTGGCATTAGAAACTTCCTCGTTAAACTGTTTTCAGTTTAGAATGTAAGGCTTCTGGAAATCTTCAGTTTTGATTATAAAATCTAGTTTTAAATCATTATCATTTTAGGGTCATCTTCAAGACACAGAATTAAAGTTGACAGCAGTGAGAGCGGTAGACTCACAGTTACACATACGGTTTTGCCACCACTATACATGTTGTTTACACAACAACACCAAACACCTAAATCAAATGATATATTTTGCTCTCGTAACTTGTCCATTATGAATGGTAGTGAGCGTTTCCCTTCAAAACTTTCGTCACAAAATATATTAGAAACTAATGAATCAAATACATTACATGTATTTGAAAAAAAAATCGAATCCAGACAACTTAGATCCGACTATCTCTACCGTGACAGCAATGAACTTAAATTCATGTAACCTAGCTTATAATCCATTATACTCCGCATTTATAACAAAGACCATTAGTCCACCACAATTACAGTCAACTTATCAAACTTCAAGTGTTAATTTTTCAGAACAAAATTATCTTCCACAAATACATTTCATGTTTCTGAAGTTTTAAATCATCAATTAATTTCATTTCTTTAAAAAAATATTAAATTGAATTTTGTCTTTTATTTATTTATTTGATAATTAGCATTTGCAGCTAGTTATGCACTGCAAATTAATCCAAGTGTAATGCATACAAATGCAGCATTTATGCCATTACCATTATCAAACAATTTACCAAATACATCAACTCCACTGAATTTATTACCATCTCAAACAAATGTTCTACAATTATCTGGTACAACAAATTTTCCTATAAATACTACTGGTTTAGCAAATGTAACGGGTAATCTAACCAATAATAACAATAATGTTAATCTACAAAATGAATGTACTGCTGGAACCATAGTCAATAATGCGTTTGATTATTCAACACAGTTATTTTCAAATGGAACATTAGGAAATGGTGGACTTATTAATGCAACATTTAACAATCAACCTACTTATTATTTTGATCCAAATTCCATTTCAACCGCTGCTGCAACAGCTATGTTGGTTGGACCAAATGGATTAAGTACCGTCAATAGCAATGCTATACCACAAATTATTGGACTGCAACAATCATTAACCAATTGCAGTAATGAATTAGGACAAAACTGTTCATCTTCTTCTACTATTGGACAATCGTTAAACTCTTTGTCACCACTAGCAGGTTTATATAATTTTGGTTTACAAATACCATTAATTTCAACATCAGCTTTATCACAATCACAACCGACAACTAATGCAACTTCACAATCGGCAACGGTAATGAATTTATTGAGTCAGTCATATACAAATCCTGTTTCTGTACTCAATGGTACTCTATCAGTTACACAATCAATGAATGAACAAAACCCACAAATAACTCTCTCTGGTACAAGTTGATCTGTAATATTATATTCATAAATATGAAATTAGTAACTGGTTGAATGAGATTTTAAGTTTTCGTAAGTTTTCAATGGATAAATATCTAAGTGATGCTTTTTTATTTGAAGTGATTTCTTGAAATTCACGAATTGTATTGTTTTGAATTAAACGGAATACATAAATCCCAATACCAAATATTTTTGCAATATATATTCTTTCCATTTACTTTGTTATATATTCCATTATCTTCGTAAATGGTTTAATCTTCTTTTGTCTACCTATATTTTTCCTTTATGTTCTTCTTTTAATTATCCGTGTAAACTGCTTGTCTATTTCACTTGTCATTTAATCTGAAGAGGGATTATTTCCAAACTGTTCTAAACGATCAGCAATCAATAATATGGGTATGAACAAACATTTTGTGCTGATATTTCTTTTATACACAATTAGATACATAAGCTAAAACACTATAAACTCTTGAGATACCGTTGTTCTTTCATGCATCTTTATTTATGCAACAAAGGTATTTTGTTTTACTTTTTTTGTAGTCATTAGTATTTAATACAGTCGTTTCACATTACCATTATTATCAGCTTCGGGACAAAAGTTGTTTTTCTATACGCAAATACTTTTATGGTCTTTTTGTGTTTTACTTCCTCTAACATAATGGTCATTATTACCATTTTAATGAAAAAAAGACATTTTGTAAATCATCACCATTACTATTATTATCCATATATTTGTTGTCATTAACAATGTTCACGTTATCATCGGCTAAATCAATAGTACAGTCTTAGGTATGTAGGTCAAGTCTTCGCTGAAAACTGTTCATCTTTGATACTATATATATATATTGCAATGAATGGAATACTTGTAGATGTCTATGTGAAAAGGCAAACTGTACCCTGAATGTACTATTACATCGTGTTTAATGTGTTGAATATATTGACAATATTATTTCATGATGTTTTTATGATATCCATTTATTTACTTGCTTTGTTTATTCAGTGAAAAACGTGGACAATAAAAAGAAGTTATATATCTATCATCCAACTTACTTAACATTCATTTAAAATAAGTTTTTTGTGAAATACCATCCTCATTCTTATTTAACCACTTAACAGTACTGAACCTATAATAGAAATATAATCAACATTTTATAGAGAACAAAATTAGTAAACAAATAGTTATTGTGTAAACTATCACTAATGTTTATTCGTTTACAATTATTTAAAGTAGTAGAATTAATGAAAAGGAAAGTGTAAGCAATAAAGTTTTGTACAGGGCAATTGCATTTTATGTACTCATGTATGTGTCAGTAGCAACAACAACAAAACCATGGTTCATTTACCTATTTACTTTTAGTATTTACAATACTAAAGTTAATATATATATATAAATCTTGTGAACGATGTATTAGAATTTGTGTACGAAGTTTCTTTTTACGTTTATTCATTTATGCACCTACTAGTCCATTCTTCTTGTTAATGTTAAAAACGTCTAATTGGAAAACTGTATGCAAAAATAATATTTCATATTTGTATTTTTCTTCTCTTTTAAAACTAATTTCTCTATCAAAATTGTTCAAAATGTTCTTTTTTTAATCTTCAATATTTAAAGATTTAGTGTTTGTTATATGCTTATTTATCCTTTTCTTCTTCTTCTCCTTTTTCTTCAGTCACTTAGTGTAAGAAATTTAAACAAAAAAGGCACATTGTCATTTAATCAATTTACTAAAAACGTAATTAATCTAATTAAACGTTTTTATGTGTTAATATTACAGTTAATGCTTGTTTCAAAATAATATATTTTCATTTGTTTAATATTTGGAGTAGTTACGGTTGTTTCATTTCAAGATAATGCTTCTTCACATTTAATGTCTTTTGGTGGTGAGATGTATTTTTAAATTTTACAAGATTTCCGATAAAAGTGATTTGGTGAATATCACTGATAAGTTTACTAGAAAAATTAATCTTCAGGTAGATTCTTTGCAGAGAGTTCTAACATAACAATCACCTGATCATAAACAACTTAAAACCTGGTACATATTTATATTGATTCATATTATCACACTATTTCAACACAGCGAGGTGAAATTGCCAAAATATAGGCTAGAGTAGTGGTAGTCGTAACAGCACCAGTGATTGTAGAAACATTGGGCTTGAACCATCTGATTCCAGAAGAAAGAGTGAATGAGGGGAATGTATTTGAGCCACATCACTATCATCTACAATCATTGGCCACGAAAATAGCCATGACTTCAACCACGTAGTTAGTACTTATCAATAAGGCTTTATCTACAAGTCACTGACTGTATGGAATTATTTCGCAGCTCTGTTTAGTCTCCTATAGGTTTCTTCTGTCCTACCCCTATACGAACAAACATCATATGTTTAGGTAGACAGTGGTCGGGTATACGCAATACATGTTCCAACAAATCGGGAATCAATCAAGAAAGGTTTGATAACATTGAATAAGAATCGCACCATATCAAATTTATTATAGCTTAAAAATGTTGACTACTACTTACCACCTCACTATTCTAAAGGTATTTTGTCTATTACAAGATGTGCAGGTAATCAATTTAACTTAGCACTAAGTCTTGAGTGGCAATGCCGAAAAGTTCTAATTAAGTGTACAACAGCTGTCTTCAAATTAAACGATTCTCCATAAACTACCGGATAAAAAAAAAAATCGAACGTTTACTATTACAGATTTTGAATAGGTAAACAATCATGTTCACACAGAACGATGGCCGTCATCTTTACTCTCATTTAGCCTATATAATAATATTGTAGTGAACAAGAACACAAGTGGGAACAATCGAATATATTTTAATACAAAATTACAGAACATCTTAGTAAAATCTGAGAACCATACAGTAAATACTTTATTTGTAAAATATCAATCAATTGTCTCCTTCTCAAATATCAGTCAATTGTCTCAGATTTCATTGATCCTGCATTTTCAAACTATGTTTTTTTATTACCGTTGGTAATGTTATTAATTCTAATAATTTGGGGTTTATCGTGATAATGTCACCTACTATACTAATATGATTGGGCACATAGAACCGGTTCAGTGATACTGAAAACTAACTTGAAATATTCGGTCACCTGGAGCTCCTCTGAGGCTACTGCCGGTCCCAAGCCCGGATAAAGGAGGAGGGTTGGTTATGGGGTTAGCAACTCCATCCCGTAGAAAACTAACTCGCTAAAAAAACGCTAACCAGAAAAAATAGTTCAAACCATCTAAACTCCACCCTGGGAGTTAGAAGGTTTCCATTTAAAAGAGTTACGACGTCTCACGATGAAATCTGAGTTCTTTCCGAAGTCACGAGGCTGTTGCCCTTTCTGACAACAAGAGCAACCAATAATTTAGGTACATGGAATGCTCGTACAATGTGGGAGACAGGGAGAGTCTTCCAAATTGCTGAAATGAAGAGATACAACCTTATTTCTATAATTTTACTTTAAAAACTTTAATTTTTTTTTCGTGCCAAAAGCGCTTATTTTCACCTTCATATCGTATTTCCTACTTGGAAGGATTTTAAACGCTATTGGTTCGTTGTATATTTTAGTATGTTATTTTGTAACTCTTCCCAAGGAAAATTTTATGCTGCATATATACGTTGCTTTGTGCCTGCTGGTGTTGCTCCTGCTTCTGGCTGCTTGCGGAATATATTTCCCCGTTTCGAACTTGGACCTCTCTCTAGCTAGCGGGGCTGGGACGCGTCAGAATAGCTAGCTTATTGATCTTTTATCGCAGAGTCTTTGTTCCATTCTCCGACTAGGTGAACTTGTAATCGCGTCAAACATAGCACTTTAACTCCTTTGTATTTGTTAGTTGAATCTTCCCATTGATGTTTAGAACTGTAGTTGATTGATCTCTTTCGAGTCCCAGAGTGAAAATCAACTCTAAGTTTCAGGTACAGTGTGGTGTTTGTATGAACTAATGATTCTTTTGTACTTGATGACTGCTTGGTTTTGAATTCTAAATATAATGCGTTTGTTTGTACTCACCTAGTTCTACGTGCCATAAACTGCACTATTTCTTGGATTCCTAGTTCGTACAATAATTCAAATACTTCTAATCATCACATAAATCCGGTTAACGAGTCCCAAATAAGATGAGACATGCATTCCGGGTTCCACTACTAGTCACCATTCATCGACCACTAGTTATAATATTCACCATTGTATTCATTAGTTTTATTAAATTACATCGAAAATAGAAAGAGTGAAATTATCCACTATTTTAATGACCTATATCTTCTTAATACCGGAAACCTTAAATAGAATAAAAATAGCTAATTTGTATTTATGTGATGATCATAATGAAGGATAATTTTTTTAACCAATTAATTTAAAATAATTAAATAAAACTATGTTGATGCTTATAAACATTAAGTATGTAAGTGAAATAATAATGTGGCTAGTGATTAGATTTTAGCTATCATTAAATGATCAATAATCTTTAAAGGAGGGGGAAGATAGTTCTCTTAATTTTTTCTAGTACTGTGATTCTCTATTGAACTTCTGTCTCACTAAAGTCAGTTTAACTCCACCCACGTTTATGTTGAACTTGGACTATTACATTTTTTCAAGTATTTTGAAGTTATCAAATGATTTGGAAGTTCATCTTAGACATTGTTTTTACTCTTTTAACCTGAAATTTCATCGTCTTATAGAAAATCTTTATATATGGACATATGAGATTACAAAGAAATCGGCTTATTGTCCCTCTTGCGATATTCTAACTTTATAATTGTTACTTGTACCAGAATAAATTTTTATGTATACTTATTATGAACCTTTTAATATGAAATAACTGTTGTGTTTTTAATAATAGAAATAATTATATACCTGTAGTAAACTAATGAGATAACATAAATATCAGAAATAATCTACCGAACGCCTACAAGTTATTGTACTTACTCAATTTCTTAAAAGTCATTGAAATTTCAGTTACTCTTTACTACTCACCATTCGCTTAATGATATAGTATTTGCACAAACTACATAGATCGCTCTTGAAAAAATTCCTTTTTTAACTTGCTTATTTTGTTAATTTATTTTAATTATCAATTATAATGTTGGTGATTTGAACCCTTTTCAAAATGTGCATATTTTTGTCCAGTTCTATCGTTTTATTTATCCATTCAGCTTGAAATTTGACTATCACTCGGTATACCAAATGTGACAACAAAATTGCTGGGGAGACCCAGAAAATCCCTCAAAAAAGCCCAGTAGCACCCTGAGAACGATGGAAAACATCTTATCTAATCAGCATTCAATAGATGCTTCCCTAAGACATCTAGAAAGTAAAAAGTCACATGCCACACTTCTGACTGGATGATTACCTATCTTGATACTATATTTAGAAGGCTTTCAGGACCTTCCAAAAGTCAAAGATCATCTAAAATGCTAGAAGCACCCTCGATTTTCTGTAGATAAACTAACTTTGAAGTAAAGCGTTCTTTCCATATTTCACATCTTTTCTCTCGTGTTCAAGTTGCTGTAAAGATTTAGTCTGGTGGTTACTAGAAGAGCTTAGGAAACTGAATCAAGCGTTCAATCAGAACATTTGTCGAAATTCGTACGGCCTTTAGACTCTACTGTTCTAATTAATTTTACGTTTCACACAGATGCCAAGTTTCAGTATACTTCTTCCCCGTGAATGAGTTGTTGAAAACATTAGTATATAATAAGATTTAAAGGGATAATGGAGGGTTTTGTGTCACATAGCGAAATTCAGCTAAATGTCTTGAAATAAACTTCACTACAAAATGAAAAGCCAGAACATTAAACAATTCAAATACATCGAAATGAACCGACAGATATCGGACAATGCTACGAATCACTAATTACACTGAAAATTCATGTACACCAATTGAGATCGATGTGACATGTATTTGTGATTATGATTATTCACCCATTTTAGATCAAGTAAAACTTTAGTTTTGAAGTGTCCCAAAAGATCTGACAAGGTAATATTTTAGGAATTTAATGGTTGAAGTCATGAGCCAATTAAGGTTAGACACCCATAGGAAACCTGGAAGCACTAGACGGTGCGCATCTACAATCCCGCTCGCGGGATTCAAACCCATGACACACGATCTCGCGCTCGAACGCTTAACCAGGTTTTATCTAGTGATCTAGCTTCAGTCGACTCATGAATTCAACTATTAAATCACTACAATCTCCACAAAACCCCGTTTCTGATAATAATCATCATGTGCTTACTAGCGACTGGCTTCAAGATGTATTTTCTGGAGTTTTAGTGAGAAGCCGTGACCAGTGCAGTTCAACCATGTCTGTTGTGAAGCATTGACTCACTGAAGACAACAGTGGACGACGGCGTGATTTCATGGATTGGTTGAAGTTAATCATTAACACCATTGGATGCTGCCCAGTTCAGTGGTCTAAAGGTTAAGAGTTCGCACGCGAAACCTAAGGTCGTGGGTTTGAATCCCGCGGGCGGGATTCTAGATGCTCAGGATGTCAAGATGAAACGGTTGTCCAGTGCTTCCAGATTTTCCATGGTGATCTATCTTTAATAGACCCATGAATTCAACTATTAAATTACTACAGTTTCAACAAAATACCATTCCTGAAAATATTTTAGAATAATTTTTTCAGTAAATTTTTTCTGTGAAATACAAAATGAATAAGACTGTAAAATTGTCACTTGAATTATTTCATCTGTGAATACTCTTCAACAAATGAAGATTGAAGTTGTCTAAATATAATCTAAACATTTTATCGAAGCAGAAATTATTACCAAAATATTATGATTCATATTTCGAAAATAAACTGGTGATATTTTAAATGAGTTTTCTAGGTCAATATTATGTTTATTTCTTTATGGACTTATCTTCTTATCATAAATTATGCCAAGTTTAAATTTAGAAAAACCAAACTATTTCTTTATGAATTAATTAATGAATTTTATTTTTATATAATGCCAATTATTAACCAGACGTTACTAATCTCATTGAAATTCTTTAGTTCCATCCAGTTTATCAATGAGCCAGTTATAAGTACTTTAAAAACAAAAATAATAAACTTTGATAATAAAAAATACTACTTAAATAATATTATATCTAAATCACATGAATTCTGTCATTAGAATCACTTGATATTAACAAATAAACAATGTTAATTAGTGAATTAAGTTTAGGTATCTTCTTTTATTATTATTTTTCTAATGAAAATCAATAAACAAAGTATAATTAACATCTCACCTTTTTAACTCAGTTATATTAGTAGACAATTAATTTAGTCCAATCATAAACTTAAGCTTATTAGCAACGTATGAAATATAACAAGTCAACATGCTTGATCTTTACCATTCAGTATTTTGTTATTTACAAGTAAGAAGAAAACAGATTTTCTAGTTTATTAATTCAATACAACAGATTAAAAGAAATCTTTGTTACCAAGTGAGATAGTTTTTTGGTTTTGTTTTATTTTTTAATGATAAATGTGTATTTATTTCTAAAAATCAATATAGTTCACAATATGTATTGATAGTGTTTCTAAAAAGAAATTAGTAGATATTTCTGTTGTTGTCAAGGCCTTCTTTTCGGAATATTCAGTGAAAAATTATGTCAAACTATGGTGTCTTTTTTTAATTGAAGTTTATCAAATTTATCATGAATTTTATGCATGTTTACAGATAAAATTATTTTTTCTTTTCTTTCTTTTGGAGTTAATAATTTTAATTCTATCTATCTAACTATCAAGTCTTATGACAGTTGAAAAAATATCTTACTTACACCTGTTACTCCTAATGGAGCATAGGTCGCCGACCAGCATTCTCCAACCCACTCTGTCCTGGGCCTTCTTTTCTAGTTCCATCCAATTATTGTTCATTTCTTTCATGCCTATCTCCATTTCTCGGCGTATTGTGTTCTTTGGTCTTCCTCTTTTCCTTTGACCTTGAGGATTCCATGTGAGAGCTTGTCTTGTGAAGCAGTTGGGTGCTTTCCTCAATGTGTGTCCTATCCACTTCCAGCGCTTCTTCCTGATTTCTTCCTCCGATGGGATCTGGTTTGTTCTCTCCCACAATAGGTTGTTGATAATAATGTCCGGCCAACGGATCCGAAGTATTTTGCGTAGACAACTGTTGATAAACACCTGTATTTTCTGGATGATGGCTTTAGTAGTTCTCCAGGTTTCTGCCCCATACAGTAGAACTGTCTTGACATTTGTATTGAAAATCCTGACCTTGGAAAAAATATCTACATTGATAAAATAAAATTTAAAAAAAAAAGAATTTCTGATGACAAAAGTCAGTTGATTAAGTTTCATTCAACTGTTTATTTTAGTTTGAGTATAAAGACATAAAATACCTATCAGTGATTTCTTTCACAAATCAATGTTCTTACATTAAATATTATTAAGATCCAAATGTTATATATCATTTGATCAATTTCAAAGCGGAACAAAATCAATATTTTAAAGGAATAAAATAACAAAGAAATATAAGTATGATGATATACGAAATGAATAGGTAACACTAATCCCTGAATTCAAATTCATCAAATCATTTCACTAAATTGAACCAACTTTAGAATTTACTAATCAGTATAAAAATTACTTATTTCTATTAAAATCATATATACAAAACATCTTAATAGAAAGTAAACATGATTGAAAGTTTTCTAAAAATGAATTAGATGGTAGAAGAATATGAGTTTAGTAGATTATTTAGTAAATTATGCATATATTACTTGTTAAAGTTTATTAAATTTTTATCTTTATTATGCAATGCATACAATGATGTTGTATCATTCAAATTCAATTATTAGTTTGTTGTATTAATTTCAATGCATAGCTTAGTTGAAATTGTGCTTGATTTCATCAAATTCAATAAAGCATCATTATGATGATAAAGAGCTTTTGATGTCATTCGTAAACGATTAAATTGACTATACTTTATTAAAGTTAAGAAATCATTAAGAGAATATTCCATCTTTTGTTCATTTAATATTTGAACAACAGAATATGATACCGACATTGAGATTACTTATGTACGATTATTTTTTTTACTTGATGAATGGAGTAATCTAAAGTGCTCATTGTATTTTTGTTATCTTTATTTAAAGTTAGTTCACTAGGAAAGTAACTGATTACTTTAGCTACCATTAACCAATTTTTGGCTATCATTTAATTGTTTTGAATTAGTCCTCTTTTGTACTTCTGAACTGGAACCAGAACGAGTAGTCAGTTACTTATAAAATGTTTGAAATGCATCAGTCTTATTAGTGATTAGTGAAAATTAATGTTCTTAAGGCGTATAATCTTAATAGAGGTTTTAATTAGAGTATATATTACTATATACGTATTATTTTAATAATTGAGTCATTGCATCAACAAAAAGTAACTGACAGTTAAGTGCTTCTAATCACGGATAATAAAATTTTTAGTCATTCATACTAACTTTATGGGCTTTACTCGTCCTAGCATCGTAGTCGATTTCGCAATTTTCTTCAAGTTATGATTCATAATATTGGATTAAAATTAGAAGAACAAGAGCTGTTGCATGGATAATAGTAATAACAATATAAATACTAATAATAGTAATAATGAAGTAATGATACATGTGTGCTAATAACAGTAAAATAAGATAAAGAATTGAATTCGATTTTAAGTGGAATGTAGGGTTTACACCAATAGGGACGACTATTAAAATGGAGTGGGAAAGAGGCACCCAGAGTGCACATTAATGAGGGCGGTTGTCGAGCACTGAAAGGAGGAATAACCTTTTTAATGTTGTGAAATATGTTCGATTTACCCTCTATTTCGGAAGACCTTCCTAGAAAAACAGTGTAATGGATGGGTGGGACGTGTTTATTACTTATTCATCTACGTAATATTAAATAAAACCTGGTCATTTGACTTTTATTACCACGTACGTCAGTAATTGACAGAATATAACTTTCGCTGGAGAGCATAAAGGACATAGCTTTTGGGAATACATGTAATAAAGTATACCGTGTATATCTTTCTCATTATAAAGAAAAAGGATGTCTTTAGCATTTTTTTTCAAACATCCCTCTAAAAGGTCTATCCCACAGTTGGCTGAAATAGACGAACGAGATAACATGACTAAGGTAATATGGATAACAGTTGGTTACCAAAATCAAAGAATTACAGTATTTGTTGAAAGCAGACTCCCCACTAGACGTCTATAAAACTATATTTCGTTGGTCATAGGGCAGAGGGACAAACCGGAAATCAAATATATTTCACATCACTGAGAGTGTTATTCACCCTTTCAATGCTCACATTTATTATTATGCGCCTTTTTGAATCTCGCCCCTATGAATGTGCACTCCTATGAATTCCCCTACCTTTTGAATGGATATCGGAACATAGTTACGTATAAGAGTTCAGTCTCAGTGATTGTAATTAGTTAAAAGGCGATTGGGAAATCTGTAACGGCTCATTTAAGTGAAACATATTTATTCGATGTTAATTTGTGACATATTTAAACAAACTTTCTAAATTCAGCTTATCAAAGAAATGAACATATCATGATACATTCTAACTAAATTGCCAGAGAAAGATGCAGTACATATCATAACGTAACTAATTTAATCACATTTACAGCTGGTGATTAATCAGAAAACTAATTTCCGCTTAAATAACCAACCTTGTGGATTTAACGGATTTAGTGATTAACTAAGTAGTGAAACTAATAACTAGACATTAAAGTATTCAAAAGTTTGTAACTTCCATTCTCTTGCCAAAAGAGTGAATGTATGTTTGTTTATAATGTTGTTTTGTTCTGAAAAATAATGCTTACTTATTTTTCTTTGAGTCGATATCACCAACATTTACTTACCCTACTAGACAGACTATTCGTATTATAATAATGATAAACAAAACACCTTGATGAACAAAAATTATTTGACCTATTTTTAAATACCTTCTATTAGAAGTTGATTCTAGATCATCATAAAAATCAACTTTTTAAGTATTAGTTACAGTGTAAAGAATAAATTTTGAAAGAGATAGCCTGAAAGTACCAGGAATTCCAACTTAAATAATATTATCCAACAGTATTAAGAATGCAAGTTTAAAAGTAAATACAAGAAAGGTAATATGAATAATAGGAATCATATATATTATTAATTACTTGCTTGAAATATATAATTATAACTTTATTATAGTATAACTAACTGTAAGACATTGTAAAGCAAAATAAATGTAGAACATTCAAGGTATTGTATTTTGTTATTTAAGAATGAAGAACTGCCATGAATATTAATTAATTAATTAATTAATTAAATCACTATGATTTTCATTAACCTAATTATCAGTTTATTGAGAATTATGCTATTGATCAATAGGTTTTTTAACATTTGGAAATACCAATTAAATCATAGAACAATTAATTCATTTAAACAATTTTTTTCAAGATTCCTGAATTGTGATGACACCATAATAATGATACATGTTTTGATTTAGTAAGAACTAAAGATAGTCCACCTTATTAATTAGTGATTGACAGTTAAAATATAGCGGCTCGGGAATCGTCATACGATTAATGTTCATTCTCTTCAGTACACACTATCAACCACCACGATGTCTCTTATTGTACATTTTTGTAATTTGTGCAGCGAAAGGTTGTAAACTTTTCATAAACGCACCTGTATAGGGTATACGATTAATAGACATAATGAGGTATTAAAACAAAATAAAAAACAGATGACTTGTTGAAATATTTAGATGGCAGAAACAGGTAGCCCAGAGATTCAAGCAGGCCGCTATGTTTATAATGGATTCATTTACAATCATGTACAATCATATTTATATTTAAGTATTACATTATTAGCTATGAGATAACCATGCATTGATCAATTCTTCCTTTATTTTTAAAGCATTACTATTTAAGTTAGTACTATAGAGAACAATCACACTATATTATTAAAGAAATATATATAAAATTTATACAATAAAAAAGAATGAACTGCATTGAATAATATAAACGAGTCATGAATATCTAGTCTTTTTCACAATAGATATTATAATAGGGACCTATAATTCTAGGACAACAATATATGACAAATAACATGGATCGTGGATGCACACTGTTGAGGAGTCCTACAATAGGACAAAACGGCCGTCCAGTGCTTCCAGGTCTTCAATGGTGGTCTAACATCAATCAGTTCATGATCTCAATAAAAAACGTAATATCTCCACAACCCGATACTGAAAATGGATAGAGTGATACTAAAATATTAGTCTATTCCTTTGTCATGAAATTAAATATAAAAGAAAAATTTAATGACATTAAATTGGGTTCATATAATGTTGCTATAAATTTTGACATTACATTAAATTTTGATATATTTAACTAAACACGCATTTGTTTGAATAAATTAAACCATTTCTATCTTTTTTTCACTTATTCCTCGTTATTCTCAAATAGGTGACTAAAGGATACCCATATTTACTGAAAAAGAAAACACCTTTATAAGAAACTAATTATGAAGTTTTATTTTGCTATCTTATTCTATTACATACTTGGACATCAAATGATCGGTATGTTGTCCGTTCGCTCTGACTCAAGTAGTACACAGTTGACTTCAGGTAACTAACTGTTCTAAATGTAAAATGATCATTATTTGATATTAATTATGAATGAGACTTAGTAATCGATATAATACGATTGCTAATTTTAAGATGATATTATTTTTCGGTATGGAGTTGTGGAGTTTGTCGAATTTCGTAGAAGTCATGAACTGATCTAAGTTAGACCAGTACTGAAAAGCTGGAAGCACTGAATGGCCTTTTCATCACAGTATGGAATTCTCAGATTATTACAACGTATAATTCTAATTAATTTGTAACTAACTTCAAATTATTATCTGATTCTATTTGGAAGTCAAACGTATGAATACATCTTACAATTAACAATATTCGTGTACCGCTATGTATTTGGTGCATCATTATAGTTTTTACAGATATAATCAACTAACATCCTACCATTTTTTCCCAGTGACCAATTTGACATAGAAAGTTTAAATCAAGTTTTGGTAATCATGCTTATATTCGTCATTGAACTTGGTGATCAAATTTCACAATTATGACTGAAGTCAATTTAATGACCCAAGTGTTGTGTTCAGTGTGTTAAATGATTTAATAATGAACTTAAATATAATGGAAAGAGACACTTAAAAACACAAGAGTAGTCTGAATGTATATAGTTTTTCCTGCGCCTACTAATAATTGTAAAAAATTGTTGTATTTACAATCCAACCAATATTCGTGCTTTTTCACGAATGTTGAGATAAGCAGTTCCTCAATTTCACTGGTTGAAATCATGAGTCAATTGAAGCTAGACCACCATGGAAAACCTGGAAGCACTGGACGGCCGTTTTGTCCTGGTATGGGACTCCTCAGCAGTGCGCGGAATCCGAACCCAGGACCTAACTTCAATCCTCAATTATTTTCGATTTGTAAAGAATAAATATTTACCAAAAGATTTTATTGGTCAGGCTTTTACTTTACGTACACACTTATATCTATAGGATCTTTAAAAGTGTCGCCAAAAAATACAAGCGTAGGAAAGTTTTATCACAGCGCAGACTTCAGAAACAAAGCATGTATCATTTCCGAAGGACCACAAAGTTGTGCCGAAATTGTGAAAACAACTACTCCGCGTAAGTTATATTATTTTGTAAAATATAGTTGACATTTCTATGGAACTTTGAGATATCTAATAATATTTCTTATGATTACATAAATTATAAACCCAGAGTTTAAATCAACTTATCGACGAAGTACAATTAAGTCATATTTTTAACATGTAAATTAAGTTATGGTTGTCATAACTTCATATCATAATTAGCAAAGATGGATGGTGGCTAGCAGTGAAATCCGGGACGCGCGTTTCGTCCTATTTAAGACTTGTCAGATAAACGTACCTGCATCTCAGAGTTTATGTTTACTCCGGAACTCGAACTCAGCACCGTTCGCTTCAAACGCCGTCGCGCTATCCACTTAACC